CCTCTGCTTTGGAGCAACAACAGGGTTGAGTGGAAACCATATGACCTGCAAATGCTAAACTATTTACTACCCAGTCCTTTACAGGAAGTTGGCTGCCACTTGTACAAAGTTTGCTGACACTGTACTAGGTGCTGAAGCCACGGGAGGGCTGCTGTTATGTTCCCAACAATGCGAAGGTGGGAGCTAGAAGGTATTAACAGATAAGATGACATTTAGATGGAGGCAGCTACAACTCTCCCCACATGTGCATCTTTTATATTATGTGGTGTGGCCGCCGTGTACTGCCCAAGCTCAGACTGGTCCCGTGATGGGACCAAATAACTGTCAGAAAGAGCCACTGCAGAGCCTGTGTTCATTGGAGGATGGCCTGGACTACCCCGGGGAGTGAGGCAGGGAGCAGTTGCCCGGAGGCCAGGGCATCAGGATGGACACGTCCCCCTGACTCTCCCAGCTCCACGTTCACATGGCGTCCTTCTGGGATTGGGGACTCGTGTGAACGCCCAAACCGCCAGAGGAGCAGCCCATCCTTCGGAAAAAGCTGCCCAAGGTCTCCCCAGTGCAGACTAAGCTGAAAGCCATGCCAGTGAGCACCTCGTAAAGATTAAATATATAGCCACAAGGTTGTGGTATTTTATAGACAGGAGACCTGGCTTTGTATTCCCACCACTGGATTATACTCTGGGCAAGTGTTGAACTTCTCCTGCCTTAATTTCCTCATCTATAAAATGGGAACAATAACTCTACCTTTCTCACAACATTGCTGGGGGTGGTCAAATGAGACAAAGACTGTGAAATAATGATCACAGTGTCAGGCTCAGAGGAAGTGCTCAGAAAATGGATGCTATGAATAATAATTCATCACTAACATTCCTGATTCCTTCAGAACTGCGCCATCCAATACTGTGGCCACTGGCCCCAGGTGGCTATTTACAATGAATGAAAGTCCATACAATTTAAAAGTCAAGTCTTTGGTCAAATCCCAGCATTTCAGGTGCTGGGTGAGCGCAGGGGAGCAGTGGCTCCTGGTTGGGACA